ATATGTGGGAGAAAATCATTTGAAAATTGCATAAATCTTTATTGGCTATTAACTGAAACAGAGTTCACCAGCAAGAGAATAATCTCTTTCTACCAGCTCATCAAGTTTCCCACATTTCTTGACATTTCCTTGCATGTGCTGACTCTGCTGTATGTTTCTCCCAGTCTCTCCATCACTATCCTCAGTATGTTGAATTCTTATACAAACTGACTTGCACTCAGCCTGTCTAGACATTTACTTCCTACACTCCTTATTTGTCTCCCTGTGATTTGATGTCCATCTCCCATCTCATAATAGTTCTTCTTTTGTATGCATTTGCCAAAACACATCACTTTTCTGAGGTATTTTTCTGCATTCTGAATTGCTACATCAAAATATTGGTCATATCTCCTATTAATTGTTTTCGAAATGTGAAATTTGTAGCTGTGTTATGCTAAACTCTAGTGCTTCTAAAATTACCATTGCTTTTCTAGCTGCTCTTATATAAGAGAATGTAACTGATCAAGTACTGCTCTTGAAAAGTATGAATTTTAAGTCTCTTTATTATTATTCTATCAATTATATTTATGTTTTACTTTTTCTCCAGTGAGATCAAGATGTGGTTCATTATTTTCTTTTTTCCCACTTTTTCTACGACAATAACCCCGTGGCATAGGTCTGTTGAAGACAAAGTGACTGCTGTATGATCTTTCAGTGAGTTTCATGGCTCACTGCAGAACTAAACCAAAGCCCCAGTCCAAGGCTCTAATAATTATAACATACAGACATACATTTAAAAAATAAATAAACGCCATGTAGATTTATCCAGAAGTGAATCTCATTAAGGCTGGATCTACACTACCCTGTATCCCAAAATCTGATACCAGGTTATCTGCTTATCCCAGATTAACCGGCAGTGTAGTCTCATATAACCCAGTTCAAAGTAGATAATCTGGGATCAGATCTTGGGATATAGGGCAGTGTAGATCCTGCCAAAATTAAATGGGAAATAATGTTCAGTAATGTTTCATTATCCAAACGGAGGCCGAAAAGGGGGCCTAGACAGAGAAAGATTACCTCCACTCAGATAATGGGACAATACCCTATGTTCTAATAAATGTACTTTGTATTGTTAATTGCATTATATTGGTTGCAACAGGAAGTGATATTTAAAACTAGGCAATGCCTTTTAAAGAGTTTTGCCAAATTAGTTAATCTGCTTTAAAAATCATTGAAACTGATTGCAAACCTCCTGGCAGTTAGAACTTTAGAATGACTGTCTCAAATGACTGGTTTCCTTGTGAGACTGGATCTCCACTCCCTATATTCTGGGATCTGATCACAGATTATCTGCTTTGAACTGGATTATGTGTGTCTACACTCCCAGATAATTTGGGATAAGCAGATAATCTGGGATCAGATCCTGGAATATAGGGCAGTGTTGTTCCAACCTTAGCGAAAATAGAGAAAGCTTAAGAGATCATTTCCTAAATGTACAATATGTTTAAGTAATGGGAAAAAATTGGACAGGTTCAGAATAAATGAACAGAAACCACTGAACACTGACATTTTTATCAGGCCCAACTCGGCACTTGCTCTAATGTATGCTTTGGAGTAGAACAGTTTAGCTGCCTTACAGTAGCCACTAAGTAACCCATGAGGAATAACTTCCTGACTGTGAGAGCCGTTCGACAGTGGAACTCTCTGCCCCAGAGTGTGGTGGAGGCTCCTTCTTGGAAGCTTTTAAACAGGCTGGATGGCCATCTGTTAGGGGTGATTTAAATGCAATATTCCTGCTTCTTGGCAGGGGGTTGGACTGGATGGCCCATGAGGTCTCTTCCAACTCTTTGATTCAATGATTCTATGAATCAAAGCTGGATGGGAACATTCTTAGAACAGCCTTCTGAGACAGTATTTAAGGCCACTTAAGATTGAGGATCTGCTTTTTACATTGGCATAGTTATGTGAGAATTCGGCATTAAGATCAAATTGTTGATATGTTTCATCATGTATACTAAGATAGAGATGGAATATCCCTTATCTAATGCTTGGAACCAAAACTGTTTTAGACTCCCCCCCCCCCCCAGATTTTGGAATATTTGTATAAACATAATGGGATATTAGAGATGGGGCTCAAGGCAGAATTAATTTATGGTATATTTCATATACCTTTATACATATAACCTGAAGGTATTATTATTCACAATATTTTAAATAATTTTTCACATTGCACCATCAGAAAACAAAGGTATAGTTATCCCAGCCACCCATGTGGACAGCTTTGTATTTTGGAATATTTCAGGTTTTGGCTTTCTAAAAAAGAATACTCACCTGTTAGAAGAAATGGAGGAAAATCTATCCATTTGAAGATTCAGATTGAAACTGTTTATAATGGGAAGGGAAAGCTCAGTGGTTCCAAATGTAAAATGTGTCATTTTATTTTTGACCCAATATAAGATGGGAATGTTCCATTTTTCATTTGGCATTAACACATTATCTCTGCCCTTGCCCTCCAGCCCATTTGGGCTACAAAATTATATAATGAGATTTTTTTCTCTTGGATTCTATTTTGAAAGGGTGGAGTATTACTGCATGCATTTTCCCACTCAGTTATTCCACACTTCTTTTCCCATTTTCTGTTCATATTATTAGTATCACATGTTCTCTTATTTCCCAAGTTAATTGAAGCACAGGTATGAGTGCAGTGAAGAGTTTGTTCTTAATATTTGCCTATTTCCTTGGTGTGCAATTTGAATCTAGTTATTTATGTGTGCACTTTTGTATGTTGTTAATCTCTCTATCCCCATTGGGAGTATTTGTGAGACTCAGATAAAAAATATCAAAGCGAACTGAATAATTAAAGTAGCATGGTAAACATTCAACTATATTTTTAAATACAGTATGTTTCAAAATGACGAACCCTAATTGAAATAACTGTATCCCTGTAACAGTAAACCACCAGGGCAGGCTATAGAGTTTCAAATGATTACCACTTGGTGCCTCTTCCAATGCACAAACAGTCCCTAGCCTTAGTCATTCACAAGACAGCAACCCTGCAATATAAGACATTGTGGTGCAGTGTGTGCTTAAAGAGTGTTTTAGCATTGATCTGCCAATGCCAAAGAGCATTTTGCATACTGACAATTTGCAAAATCAGGCTGACATATAACCAAGGCAATTGTGAAATACTTTAAAATGATTGATACAATTTCAAAGTGCAGTAGAGCCTCGCTTATCCAACCTTTGCACATCCAACGATCTGCATTATCCAATGCAGTCTGCCTCCTGCCTGGATCCACAGCTGTTTCAATACATTGCAATGTTTTGGTGCAAAATTCGTAAATACAGTAATTACTACATAAGGTTATCGTGTATTGAACTGCTTTTTCTGTCGATTTGTTGTAAAAAATGATGTTTTGGTCCTTAATTTGTAAAATCATAATGCAGTTTGATGTTCAATAGGCTTTTCCTTAATCTCTCTTTATTATCCAACATTTTTGCATATCCGATGTTGTGCCAGCCTGTTTATGTTGAATGAGCGAGACTCTACTGTGTAATAATTCATAATAGCAATATGTTACAATTGCACAAAAAGTTACAAATGGTTTAATGAAGTTATCAAGTTTTATTAATCATTTTGACCCAGAAACCAATCTTTAAAAATCACTGCAAATTGTGAATATCTCATTAGGCCTTATGTTGCAGGGGTCACCATCTTACAAATGATTGAGCAGTAATGGAAACTGACTTACTTGTTTATTTGCCAGGCATCAGGGATTTTATTAGTGTAAGATTGTAGCTCAAAGCAAGACTGTTACATATTACATTCGAGTAAATTGGGAACTCAGTGATGAGAGATTCTAAGAATTGCAGTCTGGTGACATCTGGAATACACCCATTCCCCATCCATAAATACTAGTGTGTAATAGCTTCTGCATCTGGCAGCTCTACCTTTTGTTCCAGTACTGCTAAGCCAGTAAGAAAGTTTACTTGGAAGTTAGATGGTGCAGTAGAGGGAGGAATTAAAAACAGGTATTAGGAACATAGTGGCCAAAGTCTGGATTCCTATCAGCACAGTTCTTTGCAAACTATTTTAAGCTTGAAACTCAATAGTTTCTTTGAAATGAAAATAATTGATGTGTAATCATATCAATGTGGGGCAAATGTATTTAATTATTAATTGGATTACTGTATTACATAGCATTGTATGTGAAACAGAAATGGTAAGTAAAAGAGAAGAAACAGGAAAAATGTGTGCTCTTCTTCCATGAAAATACCAGTGGTTTTAAAAATGTTTGCACTGTTTTGACATTCTTGTTTTAATTAAGAAGATATTAATTGCTATTTTAAAAAACATGCAAAGAATTTGGACTTGTGGATGTTCAAATGACATTAAGCAAAATTAAACATGTCATTAAGTTTAGTCGTGTCCAACTCTGGGGAGTGATGCTCATCTCCATTTCTAAGCTGAAGAGCTGGGTGGTCCGTAGGTGGCCATTACCTTCCTACCAGAGCAGTACCTATTGATCTACTCACATTTGTATGTTTTCAAACTGGTAGGTTGTCAGAAGCTGGGCCTAACATTGGGAGCTCACCCCACTTCCTGGATTCGAACTGCCAACATTTCGGTCAGCAAGTTCAGCAGCTCAGTGGTTTAACCCACTGTGCCACCAGGGGACCCATTTCAACTACACCACTCAATTAATAAATGGTCTTTTAGTTTCTGCAGCACGTAGAATCGGGTTCCTTGTTATAAGGCTGGCTGTTTTATTGATTCTAAAAAAGACAGAAAAGGACTAGAAAGGTTTGGATGATATATTTTTTGGGTCACCTCTGTTCATAAATTAGCAGACTTTCAGTTCCATAGAACTTTTTCCTAGTTAGTCTGAAGATTTTCACAAATGTAAAAAAAAAAAACCTAGATGATCTGGTAATTATTGAATATATCTAGAAAGTAGTAAAATACGTGCTATATCTTGTTATTTCATCTAATGGCTTCATTCTTATTTGTTCTCTGAAAGGAGTGAGAGGAGAAATGTCACTTGGATGCCAAGAAGCCTTTGAAATTTTTAGAAGAGATCATGCCGATAGCATAACGATTGATGACAATAAGCAGCTCCTTAAAGTAAGGTAAGATTTATATTGCACAAACTTCTGAGAACACACTCTGTGGATAGAAAGACATGCTTTTGGCTTGGATGCAGAAACTGATTAATGTATAGATTTAAATGGCCTGAATTTGCAGACTATATTACAAGGCAAGACATAAGTACAATTAGATATATGGTAAGAACCATTATTTTAGTACAGCAGCTCAGAACATTGTGGCTCCACCATGGAAAGTCTTCCACACATGAGTTGGCAAAATGGAAAATTGGCATAGTGAGAGTTTTTTAGTTTTATATGCCAAAAGGACTAGGAATGTTGTGGTTGCATGTGATAAAGTCTTTAATCAAAGATGGCAAGTAACCATAATCAAAAGAGCTTTGAAAAAAGGGCACATACCAGAAGCAGGTCATAGAAAAGGCAGTATTTGGCCATCTTTCAACCTTGTAGCACAGTGATACAAATGCTACTTCTATGGATCATATTGTCATTCTTACTTCCATATTACATACTTCTGGATGTCTGTATTCTCTTCAGGGGAATAGGGCCATATGTTGTACCTGGACATATTTCAAAAGAGAAGAATTACTCTATTTGGCTTCATTTCAGTGACAGTAATTTCCTTCTTAATGAGTCTTAGGTTTGGCTTTAGAGTCTAAGTGTGTTTTGTTCTTAATTTTGCAGAGCACCCAGTAATCTTAAGTGCTTCATTATTATTATTATTATTATTATTATTATTATTATTATTATTAATTCATATGTAATTAATGTGTTTACATGTTTCTTATGTGACAAGGTTAAGTGTCACTCATGGAAATTACTCAGAACAGTCTGTAAACCATTTTGTTCCATCATTGAAACCCCACCTATTTTTACTCCAACAATGAACAACATATGGACTAATCGTGCAGCTAGTGCAAAATGCTGCAGCCAAGTCGCTGACTAGACTATCATATAGAAAACGTGCTGTTAAAAGCAACCTAGAAAGGCTAAAAGCTTGTTCCATGGTGCTAGAAAAAGAAGAAGCAGCAGCAGCAAGCAAACAAACCCAGTGAATGTTGGTTATAATTTTTTTATAAGCTTTTAGCCTTTCTAGTTCCTTTGCATATCAATACGCTATATAGAAATGTACCTTAATATGACAATCAGTGTAACTAATGCTTGAATTAAAGTTAGAAAATCACAATTGGTTTGGGTCAGTTTCATACATTTTCATACATTCTTTTTCCCATATTAATATGGGGTTGTTTTTATCTTGGGAGGTGGGACTTGGCCTCGGTATTCCACGCTCTGGTTACATCCTGAATAGAGTATTTATTTATTTATTTTATTTAGAACTTGTATATACCGGTCTTCTCAGATCCACAGAGGGACTCAGGCTGGTTCACAACAAGATTCACAAACAGTAGTTTAAAATATCACAGCACATAATGCACTAATACATAAAATACATTAAAATAAAATCATATAATTACATAAGGCCAGGTCATCAGAATAAAATCACAATTCATCACCATCTATCCATGTGGTCAGGAGTTATTGACTCACTCATCGAATGCTAAATTCCAGAGCCAAGTTTTCACCAGCTTTCTAAAAGTCAGGATAGAAGGGGCAGTTCTAATCTCCAGTGGGAGAGAGTTCCAGAGCCAAGAGGCCAACACTAAAAAGGCCCTGTCCCTCGTCCCCACCAGACACGCGAGGATGGTGGGACCGAGAGCAGGGCCCCTCCAGAAGATCTTAATAACCTTGATGGTTCATAGGGGAGAATCCGTTTGGACAGGTAAATTGGGCCAGAGTCGTTTAGGGCTTTATAGGTCAACACCAGCACTTTGAATTGTGCTCGGAAACTGATTGGCAGCCAATGGAGCTGACGTAACAGAGGAGTAGTATGCTCCCTGTACCTCGCTCCTGTTAGAAGTCTGGCTGCCGCTCGTTGGACTAGTTGTAGCTTCCGGGCAGTCTTCAAAGGCAACCCCACATAGCGAGTGTTGCACTAGTCTATACAGGATGTAACCAGAGCGTGGACCACCATGCCAGATCAGACTTTCCAAGGTACGGGCGCAGCTGGCACACAAGTTTTAATTGTGCAAAAGCTCCCCTGACCACCGCCGACACCTGGAGTTCCAGACTCAGCGATGAGTCCAGGATCACTCTCAAGCTGAGAACTGGCGCCTTCAGGGGGAGTGTAACCCCGTCAAGCACAGGCTGTAACCCTATGCCCTGTTCGGGCATAGGGTTGCAGCGCACTCTGTGTAGGGTTGCCTCTGAAGACTGTTCGGAAGCTTCAGTTAGTTCAATGCTCGGCAGCCAAGTTGCTAATGGGAGCGGGGTACCAAGAGCGCACAACACCCTTGCTACACCAGCTCCACTGGCGGCCTATCAGCTTTCGAGCACAATTCAGAGTGCTGGCTTTGGTCTATAAAGCCCTTAACAGTTCTGGCCCTGTTTATCTGTCCAAACATATCTCCCACTACAAGCTACCTAGGAGCTTAAAATCGACTGAGAGCAGCCTCCCCACCATCGCAATCGTGCTTGGTAGGGACGACAGACAGGACCTTCTCTGTGGTGGCTCCTCAGCTATGGAATTCCCTCCCAAACGAAATCAGATCTGCTCAATCTCTCCTGTCCTTCTGAAAAAAAAGTGAAATCCTGGCTCTGGGATCAGGCCTTTGCAGACAAGACTGACTTGCTGGCAAAGCTATGGTTTTAATGGACTATGATGGACTGCTTTTAGGATAACAACTGAATTCGGTGATGCGATCTTTATATTTTTATACTGTTTTATTATATTATGTATATTTATGCTTTTCTTATTGTGGGCACTGTGTTAGCCGCCCTGAGTCCCTCTGCGGAGGTGAGATAGGACAGGATATAAATGCCCTAAATAAATAAATACATAAAGAAAGAAATCTGCAGAAAATGTACATTAAAATGTCTTTAAATGAACATTTATTAATGTCTTTTCAACTTTACAGTTTAACTACAAAGTTTGTGCAAAACTTATTTTTACAATTTAGACTCTATATTGGATTGAAATTGGAAAGATTATTCTCAATACCATGTATTTTGGAGTAATCTATACATTGCTAAACATATTGTACAAACGATTGTGCATTCTAAATTATTTTAATTTTTCTTTAGCTAAAAGAACTGTATTGCAAATAAAAATTAAGAGATACTTGTATTACAGTCCACCCATTAGCTCAGGTAAATTTGCAATGGAAATAAACAGATTTCTCAGGCATTCCTAACAAAGGCAGCCAATTGCAACAGTCACACTTGCCTCAAACAGACAAGAGTTCTTTCTCCCACCCTGGATATTCCACAGATATATAAACTTCACTTACCTAGTTTCCAACACACCTCACAACCTCTGAGGATGCCTACCATAGATGTGGGTGAAATGTCAGGAGAGAATGCTTCTAGAACATGGCCATACAGCCCAGAAAATTCACAGTAACCCAGTGATTCTGGCCTTATTTTATTTATTTATTTATTTACTATATTTGTATACCACCTCTCTCAGCCTGGGGGCAACTTGAAAGCCTTTGACAACACATTCCTAACAAAAATGATCCTTGAAAAAAAATTCCAGTCTTAATAAGCATTTTAACTTAAAGTGACTATTTCCATGCAATCAGCAAATATTATCAGATCAAATATTTATTTATTTATTTATTTGTTTGTTTGTTTGTTTGTTTGTTTATTTATAGTATTTATATTCCACCCTTCTCAGGGCGGATTACAATGTACATATATATGGCAAACATTCAATGCCATAGACACACAACATATATAGATAGACACTCAGAAGCTACTTAATATTCCAGCTTTCCATGAGGGCATTCTGGGCACCAGGGAGCTGTTGCTTCACCGTCCATTTGTGACACCGAAGTACTTCCTCATTCTTTGCATGCTTGCTGGAGATTTTTATGGCCTTGTAAATTAGTTAAATTAGCCTCCCCGCATAAGCGATACCTAAATTTCCTACTTGACAGATGCAACTGTCTTTCGGGCTGCAAAGGTAGGCAGCAAGCTACACAAATTGGATGGAAGCTCACTCCAACCCGGGCTAGCTTCAAACTTATGACCTTTCGGTCAGTAGTGATCTTAATGCAGCTGACTCCCAGCCAGCTGTGCCACATAATTTATTCTATAAATGTCAGTATATATGAAAAATATCCAATTTCTTTAAACAGCCATTTTTCTTTTCGGTTTTTTAAAATCTGTATCTTGTCCTTTGGATTGCATTGTAAAAGTTTTATTCTGCAAGGCACATTAGCTTGTCATCATGTCGTCCTCCTCTTTTTAACTTTCATCTCTTTAAAATTCAAGTTACAACAACAACAAAAACATTTGAGGGACATATTTAAACATTATATCTTCTTTTTTTCCATTTAAGTACTGAGTCCTTGTAATATATGGGTATGTGTGTATTTTCTTTTAAAAAGTATCGCATTTATGGTTCTATTTTGCAAAATTTGAGCAAAAGTTTTTCTAAAGAGCATAATTTCTCATTCTTGGGTTTCAATATATTAATAATGATGTCTCCAGTTTTCAAGACATTCATTTGAGGTGATCCCAAGCAAGTTTGGAAAAAGTAAAATAATGTTAATATACCATATGAATCAAATTGCATGCAGACTATAGTCCTATTACCTTTTAGGAAACAGATCTTATTGCAAAGAGTCAATAAATTTCTGGATAAATGCCCATGCAATAGTTCTTAACATTTAATCTACCATGTCGATTTTGTATTAAACACAGCAAGCAATGTTGTAGCTTTTGCTGTTTGCAGAAAACATTAGTGAACAAAGTCTGAAACTCCAAATACATCACACTTGTTCAAAACAAACTCTGCTTAGATCTACTCTGTAATTTGGAACATAGCTGCTGAACCACTACTTGTACAGAAACTCAGTGACCTCGCACTCAAATTGCTAAGCAAGGATTATATATACAACACATTGAAAAGTTAACCTTCTCTTAAATATATACCTTTCAAATGCAAATATTTCTATATGTGGTGTGATAACCGTTTCCCATGCCATGCATGACACTTGGTTCACAATTGCTTTTTTAAATAGATTTGTATTTTCTTTGGTTTCTCCCCCATCCTCTTTTTAAAAGTTGGGTAGATTTTATCATAGACCACGAGAGCAATTCATGTCTTGTAGCACTTGGAAAAATCTGCATTGGTCCTTTTTATAGATTTCTTTCTGCTATTCTGTGGTGCAGAGGCATAGTCTCCTACTCCAAACCTCAGTAGCATTCCTCAGGCACCTTATCTTCTTTCTAGATTGTATCCAAATGGCTTCCAACTTGTTCATTTCCTTAATCATAAAATCATAGAATTGGAAAGTCACCTAAGCCAGCTTTCTGCAATAAAATTTCACCCAACTGACAGTTCCCACAATCCTCTTGCCTGATCCAGACCAAGTATACCACAAGTAACTGCTCTGCAGAAGGTGCCCGAAGAAAGCCATCATTACTTTATGAATGTATGAAGTGGAGAAAACCTCATACTAAAATAAAACCTACCCTTGGAAATCTTGTCAGCTAAGTGCTATTTCCAACTCCTTAACAAACTACAGAGAGGCAACCACGTTAACTGTGTTGCAACGGTTCTAATGATTATAGAATTATAGAGTTGGAAGAGACCACAAGGGCCATCCAGCATAAACCCTTGTCATGTAGGAATGCAGAATCAAAACATCCCCAACAGATGGCCAACCAGCCTCTGCTTAAAAACCTCCAGAGGAGGAGACTCAACCACACTCAGAGGCAGCATATTCTCTTGCTGAAAAGCTCTTACTGTCAGGAAGTTCTTCCTAATATTTAGGTGGAATCTTTTTTTTTTTACTGTAATTTGAATCCATTGCTCTGTGTCCTCATCTCTAGATCATCAGAAAACAAGCTTGCCCCCTCCTCAACGTAACATCCTTTCCATTATTTACATGACTATCATGTCCCCTCTTTGCCTTCTTTTCTTTTCTACAGAGTCCACTGTAAACACTGTGCATTGCTGATTTGTGTAAAATGGTGGTGTTCAGAAACTTTGCATTGTTTCCAATTTTTTGTGATCCCAATATTGAGCTAAAGGGGCCTTATTAGGGGTCAGGACTCACAGTTTAATAAACAGTGGACTAGAGCACACTTTAACAAATGAATAAAATATTTGGGATATATATTTACTAAATAAGATTGGGATAAATTACCTGCTCTCTGGGTACCATGAGACCCAGACAAGTGTACACCTTTGGTCTTCCACATCTCCCATGCCTCCCCCTTCCATTTTGGCTGTGAAAAAAATTACGCTCTTTAGACAACCTCACACCAGTCTTAACATACTCAAGTCTTTCAGAAATTCAACCACAGAAGTGACCATATGTGATGCCATGACACTTTCACTTGACGAAAATAGTAGCTATTATGGTACATTGGTCTTCGATATGCCCAACGGAGCTGATTATAGTCAGAGAGTCCCCACACAACTAACAAACAAATACAATCTGTAAGTAGCTTCTGTAGGAATTTGACCCACAGGACTGGGAGAGAGAATTCATTGGTTAACACCATAAGTGATTAATACTGTACTCATTCATTTGGCAAGGAAATACAAAGGTACTATACAGGTACCAACATGAATTTCTCTGAGTGTGGGACACATATATAAGTTAAGTGAGACTAGGAAAACATCAACAAAATGACAGTATTGCGAGAAAAGCATCTTTACTACCATGATCTCAATCTGAATCTGTCACACAATTTCATATAGCGACCCCTGGCTTCATATTATGTGGGCTGATCATCAGACATCTTTGGCCGTGCCCTGGCACCTTACATTGAGAAAGGGCTTCAAAAGGTTGAAAAAGTAAACAGAGAACAATATATAGCCTAATCTTGTTAATTTTCTCTCTTATTCGTGTGTTGAATAAACTTCCTTCTTTTCATGGCTTTCATGAAATAATGCCAAGTTTTTAAACTTTGTATTTTCTCAAATACATCACAATTGTACCCTTGGTTCACCCCTGATATGATAAATAAATGGCTTTCAGGGAATCCCTCTCAAGGTACCACATCAGCCATAGAAATAAAGTATCTCCCCAAACTATCTTCATTTTGGGGAGATTTCCATGTACTCTGTTGAAGTGCAAGGAAAGAAGTCCTTTCTCCTTTCCTTGCATTTCAAACAGAGTGAATGGAAATCTCCCCAGGATAGCCCAATTATTCATGTTGTGTTCATCTGTTAAAGTAAGTAGGCATCAGGAAATAAGGGTGTGGAGATCTAAAATGCTAGCTATGTACAGCTTGAAAGAAAAACTGACTAATTGAAAGAAGACACCCAATGTGTGCCTCTCATTTGGAAAAGTGCTATTTTCCGCTTTGTTCCATTGCTAGTTTTGTTAGACAAAAATGGAACTTGCGGGTTTTTCCAGTTTCTCCTCTTAATCCAACTCTTGCCAAACCTGATTTGGTTCCAGGTCTGCTAGGATGTTTATACATGACTGGATACTCAGTCAGAATTTCATGACAAGGGTACTGCCCTAGCCACAAAAACCATAATAGAATGTGTCATCCTACAGATATCTGTGATTTGTTACAGAAGAGGTATTTTCTGCTTTTGTCCATCTATATCAGATTAACTCTGGATTGTGTTAAAATTTTAAGCTATTTAAGTAACCTGACTTAATTATTATTGAAAACTGAAGAGATTGGCAGGATTAGTCTGCCAATTTCAAACCATCATAGGTTCAAATAAAAATGGTATCTGCCATCTTCTGCCTGAAGTGTGTTTTTATTGGCTTTTCTTTGTGCAGCTGTGAAATAGCTGGATCATTTTCTTCTGCATTGCCACAAGAACTATATTTTAGGATTTTTCTGAAAGTTTGCTTAAATATGAAGATCAGAACCTTTTGTATCAACTGAAATGTATAGAATATATTTTAGGAATAGTTTTCTATATCTGCATTGTGTGTTCCAGTGATCTTTATATGCAGTGATACCTTGACATCGAGTTTAATTCATTCTGTGACCAAGCTCATAACTCAAATTGCTCATATCTCAAATCAATTTTCCCCATTTAAATTAATTCAAATGCTATTAATCCATTCCACCACCACCCAACCCCCCCCCCCCCCCGAAACTACACCAATTTTTATTAAGTGTATTTACCTTCAAGATCAGAGAAGATGCTGGTGAAGGTGAAGGAGACCACTCTAATGAATCAAGATTGAAAGAACGGGCAACTTGCAGTTATTTCAGTTTAAATGTTATTAATCAATGAATCCAGATTCATTTTTACTTAAAGGAAAAATACACCTAATAAAACAGTGTTAATTTCTAGAAAACAAGATCTAGATTTCAATAATCCTAACTATTCTATTGCTCTTATTGCTAGGTTTGCTGAAGCGAAATCACTTGGAGAAAAAGTAAATGAAATACGAAATAAGATTAGTAAGTAACAGTGTTCAACTTTATTTTTATTTTTTTTAATGCTAGAATTGTAGTTATTGCATACATTAAAGTAAAGCAACACTAAAATTGTTGTAGCAGATGGTATGAACAAAGCAAAAAAACATACTGGAGTGTTATAGGTTTCAGTGAGTAGTAGAATGGACTCAATTTTCCTTGTATAGGCAATAGAACCTACATATTAGGTGAATTCTCTCTGTGTTTATTAAAACATAAAAATGTATGGTCACAAGAATGCAGCAATTACTGCCTGTGTTTTCCTCAGTGATTCCACATATTTATCTCAAAGATTTTACATGTTAAGCTCACTTTCAGTTATTTCTTTCAATGCTAATGTCATGCAAGCTATTTTTGTAATCCCCAAATCTAAAGAAAGGGGTTTTTTTTAGTTTCTTCATCTGAACCAAGACAAATATACTAGGTGGATGAACAACAGAATCAAGAACATGAGTGTGACTTGTTTCTACTACTTCTGCTCAGAGTATCATTCCTTATGCCATGCATGGAAGCTAACCTGCCAGAATTATAGTTGAAAACCCGATTGCAAGAATTATAGGCATCTGTGGCTTACAGCTACATACTTAATATACTTTTATTGTTGTTTTGGTTTTATTCAAACATTCCTGGCTGCCCCATTGTGCACAATTAAGGCCAGATAACTTCCACATTAGTTTCTGTTTTTCCAGCCAACACTTAATGGTATAAAACTCTCCACCACAAAGGTCAATGGAAGACTTTTTGGTAAGCCACTTAATGCAATGGAGAACCCATTTTACCAGTTTTGATGATTTATAGTGATGCTGACAGAGACCAGTTGGCTGTAACTTGAACATCAGCCACATATATTTTATTTTTACAGTTTTTCATAGTAGTGACCATTATTTTGCAGTACTACAGCTCTTCCCCAAATGATCTATTGCTGCTACTTCCCAAGGAAGCAGGCACATCTTTCAATGCTATCTTCATCGTATCGTTTTGCAAAGTTTCTAAACCTTGCCAAATTGAAGTCAATTTACTAGTGTGCCAAAATATCTTTTTGACAATTTTAGTCCCACAGATCAGGCAGCCCTTCTACACCAGCCCTAAAATGTGGAAGTTACCAGGATTAAAAAAAAATTAAAACACAGATTTTAGCACAGTCTAGAAGCGCCCAGAGAATCCAGTGGTAATATATAAATGCATCACCACTGATAATACTTTATAGAGCAGTTACAATTTGCAAATTTTAGTACCCATTTTAGATAAAGGAACTTAGATGTGATGATGGTAAAACTAGAGCAGAGAGGCCCTATACTATAAATCTAGTACTCTATCCATAGACTCCCTGGCATGAAAATTCTCTGAGTTATAAATCTTAAACTCCTAGTACTAGGGTCATTGGGGAATATTTTATAGTCAGTGATCAAGTAGAGTTATTCTGTATGTACTGTGGAAGGGAAACTACACTTTGCTCTAAGCCTATGGACTGAATTGGTTTTCAGAGAAATATGGATTTCTTACAGCCTGGTGTCTCACTTAGGCTAGATCTACACTGCCATATAACCCAGTTCAATGCAAAAAAAAAATTGGGATCAATTGATATTTCAAAACCTGAAGCAGCTGTTCTTTTTATTCGGTTCAAAAGAGCGAATAATATAATTGAAATTGAGTGCAAGATGAAGCACTGCTTCATTTCAAGTAGACCTTCCCAAAGTAATGCATTTTGGAAATACAATAACCATACAGGGTTTGGTCACTTCTATTTATTTAAGAATTGTGGCTGGTTCACACAGGATACAAAGCCATTGCTAAAAAGTGCTATGATACAACTACAAATGCCATTCCTGGTGGTCATCATGCACTGTATTAATAGCAACCTTAGAGAAAATAATGCAGACACCTCACTGTCTAGAAATGTTGTATTTGAAGACTGCGTGAAACACAGATTCTGTACTTTATGTTGTTTCAGCCAGGCATATTTTCATTTGCTCTGTATGGTGTGAAATCACTAGAGCAATGAAATAATAATTCTTGAATCTCTGTTAAGAGTCTCTGATACATTCCTCACTTTGCAGTAGTTTCTATACTTTACCTTTCAAGACCACGTCCCATATCTTCTGTTATTCTTCATTTTGACTCCTTTGCTTCAAGAAATTTACTTCAGTCATCTTTGAACTATTGTTAGCTCTCATCCTTCACATATGTACTGAAAAAGAGATTTGGGGTCACAAGAAAGAAATCATATGGAATAAATCGCAGGTGTTCTCACCTGCTATTAATATCCTGTTTGGAGTTTAGAGGCCTCTAGTTTTTTATTTATTCATTTTTTATAAATCCACATGGTATGTGAAGAATTGAGAAGCATTTTTTTCTAAAATCTGTGGTTGGTGAGCTTGTTTCTGTAGGATAAGTAAACCCAAATTGAAAGCACGATTCAAAAGGAAGTGAAATAAAGTCAAGATCAAGAATATGTGATGCAGCTGTCCTGGTAAATAAGAAGATAAAAGGAAACAATGAACGATCTAGATAGAGTAAAAAATTTGCATATTACATCAAGGCAATCAAAGCTGTATATGGAAATGATTGTTGAAAAACAGGAAAAGAGGAATTTTTAATATGTTGGGGCATTTGTTACATTCATACTAAATTATTTGCCTCAAAAAGAAGTCCTAGAATGTTACAGTGACTGATATGTTTAATCCAAAATAGAACAATGTATTGTTTGCACCATTAAATTGACTCTTTCTGTATGCTGATTTTTTTCCCCAGAATTTCAAGACAGTGTGTATTACAAATCCTACAGTTCTGTTGAGGGGTAGGAGGAGTGGGATTTGGAGACTAAAATCTAGAAATTGCCAAGTTAGAGGAGGCTGCTCCAAGGCAATGTGGCTATGAATTTATCAATTACATTTTCCCATTAACCTTCATCTTTCTTTCTATGATTTTGTTTCTTTTGGTTTGTTTTCACTGGCATATAAATGGGCAGAAAAATGCAGAAAAACCCTTCTAGATCAGCAGAAAGCTGCAATACATTTAGCTAAAGAGGAAGATAGTGGAAAGTATTCCTGATAAGTGAATTCCTCTTCATTGTCACACCTAGCTAGCTCTGTACCAATCATCTAGCTTCTTTTTGCAGTATTTATCCAGGACTGGTTTCCATAATTTTACTTGCTTTTACTGACAGTTATATCCTAGTACAATCCTGCATCTTCCTGCTTATACCTGTATCTATGGCAGTGGTTCTCAATAGGGCTGGATAGGTTCGTTTGGAAAAGACTGAAACCCTAAAACATATGAATTTGGACATCCGATGCAGTTTTGAACCATGCAGGAAAGGTAGGTGGGGGGTTATCTAGATTTGAACCACTTACTTTTTTTGTTTTGTTTTGTAAATATCCTATAATGTTCGCATGTCTCCTGAAGTTATTTTAATTTTCACAACCATTAAGCAACTTTGGTAAAGGCAAGAGAATTTTTTAAATCACATGCCTTTCGCACTGTGGGTGATGCAAGGAGGGAAATGGTGGGCATGGCTAATCACAGCCAACTTTAACTGAAGTAGTGTGTGAAGGCCAGCCCCCCAGTGGTAGAGATTGCAAAAGACCCTGATGTTAAACTACATTTCCCACAATGCTCGCCTGCTCATTAGCCAAAATGGCTGAAGGACCCAAAAATAGTTGTCTGTAGCAGTCTTCATCTAAATATAAAATAAAATGATTGAATCTACAAAGGTGTCTAAAGAAGGCAGCAACTTTTGCAAAGCCAAGAGAACATAAACCACTTAAAAACCAATCATTTTACTTTTGCCTGATTGCCATGAACAAGTCACTGGGGTAACCAGCCACAGCCAGCAAGCCCTTTGAAAATTTGCGAAATATCCATGGATAAGTCAAAGGTTATGAAATTTGGTGAGCTAACAGTGGTCAATGTGTTCTACCACTGTACCAAGTTTCATCAAGATTGGTCCGCATTAACGAATTGATTCGGAAGTCCCAGAAAGTTTTGATTTTTTTTTAAATCTGGAAGTGACTTTAGAATTGATCCATCAGTGCCCCCTACATCCAAAACAAGTTTTGAACCTTTTTTTTTAATCGACCAAGCCTAGTTCTCAACCTGTGGGTCCCCAAATGTTTTGGCCTTCAACTCCCAGAAATCTTAACTGCTGGTAAACTGGCTGGGATTTCTGGGAGTTGTAGGCCAAAACACCTGGGGACCCACAGGTTGAGAACCACCGATCTAAAGTTTAAGTGGAATTTGTTTTTCCTCTTATAATTTCTGTCCTTTGGTTTGTGTCCTGGTTTCTGGAGCTGTGGATCACACTCTTCTAAATGTTGTTGCTGATGTTTTGTACATTGAAGTTCACTCCAGCTTATAGCAACCCTATGATAGGGTTTTCTTGTCAAAGTTTATTCAGAGAAGCTTTGCCTTTCCTTTCCCCTAAGGCTGATAGAGTGTAAGTTTCACAAGCCGACTAAGTGGGTTTCTATGGCTGTTCAGTGATTGAGTCTCACGTCTCCCAGATACCTAGTCAACACATAAACCACTGTAGCACACTAGCTTCTCTACATGACATCTCTTCAAAGAGTTAAATATGGATATTGTGTCATTTTTCAATCTTTTTGTCTCCCAGCTATAAGTACATAGCTCCAGAAAATGGTTCTTCATTGGACTTGATTTTCAGAATGTTTACTATTTTGATCATCGCCTTTGGACACACTCCAGCTTGTAATTTCTTCTCAGTCTCATTTAGACATGTGCTGTTGCCCTATTTTTGCATTATTTTTGAATATGAATTATTGAATATATAAACTAAAGTAAACATGTTTTGAACAACTTGTGGGGGAGTGAATGTACATACACTACATAAGAATTGGAGGACCAAACCTGAGGGCAAAAGTCCCTAAATGCATTCCCCATTATTCTAAAATTATCAAGGAGCTTTTGGTGGAAATCTGTACAACAATCTAATACAGAACAGTACTGTTCTATGGGAGGCTGGTTAT